TATCTACAAATGATGGGTTCGCACACGATATCTTCGAATTTTTTTCTGTTTTCTAGTCATTCACGATTGGAGGTTATAGCGAGAAGAGGAGACACGAGATTCGACGAGCCAGAAACAAGAAAAAGGTAGAATTAACTTCCCTAGCCGAATTCTTTTTCTTAAGTTATAGGGCTCAAGTGTATTTTTCAGCAACGAAGACGAGCGCGACGACTCATGGGAGTGGAATCGGATTCGGATTCTGATTCGAGTATAGATTCGTATTTCAAAGTCAGAGTAGAAATGCCTAAATACTCTGTAAGCTAATTCCCGTCTATGTGTACGATGAAAGTGCATCGGTGCTGCATGTCATTTTTAGGATATCGAGGTGCCGAGGTGGCGAAAGTTGACGCCTGAAGAGCTTGTCGATATGACGCGCCATCCAGACTCTTGCGATTGTTGCACTAGTACTCGTTTGGAAACTTTGGTTGCAAGAAAGCATTTGCGGTTAGCAAAAGAGGAGCGATTGTATTTTGAGGTGAGAATAGGATCACAGCAATGCTTGACTAGAGTTTTGCATCAGGACCTAATAGATCTGTTATTAAAGGAGTACAGTATAAATATTCTATTTTTGGATTTTTGACGGTTTCGGAGAGCAAAAGATGGGAGTCAGTTTAGATACAAGGTTATTTTGGTTGGCATATCGTTTTAATGACAGTAAATTCATGTCGTTTTTACTACAAGTTGGAGTTCATCGCCTTAACTTATTCTTATGTTCCTTAAAGTTAGCTAAACAGAAAAGTAGATACTTCAAATGGAATATCGGCAGCAAAATGTGGCTCAGATCTTATATGTCGTATTAGAAACGTCAATCGTATCATCCCATAGGCGAAGATAATCCCAGTGTACGATTATAAGATGCAGCATGTGAAGTGGTTGTGCAATCAGTGAAAATATCTTCGTATCAAGACAGCGAGGAAAGGTTTAAATGTTCGCTTGAGAGTAGTGAGAAATTTTGATTTATAGGTGAGAACAGTGGTATTGGCTTCTGTGTGTTAGAGATTGAATATTTGAACAAACATTCACTGACCTGTTCTTGTGGTTTTTTACCACATTCGCTAAGGAGTTTGGTTTTCCCTTATGTTTTCTTGTTATAGGGAAAGCGACGTGAAATGCCATCTGTAGACTCCGATGACGACTCCGAAGTTGAAGGAGGAGACCTGAACCCATTGTTGAAATGCACTTTAAATGAATCTGAACGAGCACTTTACGACCGCTCACCGCACATTCCTAGTGGACGGGAACCTCCGCAAAGACCACGATGAGTAGCCATTCTAAAAGCAGGAAGCACGCGTCGATGAATTTATTGATGGCATGGATAGAAGTGAAGATGTGTGCAGTCTTTTATCGGATCTCACGGGCTTGATCTGCGTTGTGGAATCGTTGTCGTTCCGAGCTGTTCATCACATGTCACAGTGCGTAATGAAATGTTCTGTGAAATATTTTCAGGGAAAAAGTGCGTCATTTTT